CATATATATTATTTTTATTGTTATTAAACTTTGTAGTATTATAATTATTATACTATAGAGTATTTTCATTGTAATTTCAAATGTTAACGCATAATGTAAATTTCTAAAAGATATCTGTCTATTTAAAGATTTGTGAAATAACAAAGACGAGTTTATGTTGTGAATTGTGTAACGACGCGCGAAAAATATGCGAGCTATAATGTTCCATTAAAAATCGTAAAGGACGGTACACACTGCTTATGTTCACAAATTATGGCATGCATTTGATTATTTGCGGTAATTATTCACAACTTTCATTTCCCGCTTTATTCATACATTTCTTAACCAACCTGCTCGTTTGCTTGCAGTGGAAGAAGGACGCCAATCGAAGAACACATTGGCGATCATACGAGAACTCATTGCGAAAGAAGGATCGTATGTATATATGCTTTGTCAAATATGTGCTTTTTCAAAGCGAGTCCCGCGCGTGTCTCGAATGAGTGAATGAAACGTCGTACAAATTGCGATTAACATTTCACGAAACTGGTTTCTCCGTGACTGACAAATTCTAACGCGTGGATAAGGGATTTAATCCGTGTTATATCTTTTTAAGTCTGGAATTATACCAATAATTCAACTGTTGTTCGTGTCTTCAAGGTGCACGCTGTACAGAGGCATCGTTCCCGTTCTGCAGAGCCTATGCGCGAGTAATTTTATTTATTTCTACACATTCCACGGCTTAAAAGAACTGAGAAGCAAAAGAAACCAAACGGCCAGCAGCGACCTGCTTATTGCATCAATCGCCGGTACCGTTTCTCGAACAGCATGACTTTTTATGTGTACATACATATAATGTTTCGCGTAGTAAAATCCAACGTATTTCCGCATATAATCAGAGCATTAAACGCTTTTTAGTCACAAACGAGTGGACAAATGCAACGCTTAGAATCATATTTCCCAATTTATTCAATGTACATTTCATCCGAAAAAGAATTTGAATCGAAGGGTTTAGTTATAAAGACACGCAATCGTATTAATAACACCGAAAGGTGTCGGATTATATAGGCGGGAAGTAATAAAAATAACTCACTCGTGTTAACTTTCCCCGAGGAAAATATACATATAGACTCCGATTTAGCGGAAAGATTTTGCTACGTGTAACATCGGAGGAAACTCCTGGGACATTCTATATCTATACATGTGTGCGATTCAGGTGTTATCAATGTCCTCACCACGACACCCCTGTGGGTTGTAAACACGAGATTGAAGATGAAAGGCGTCGGAGTGTCTTCGGAAAGAAATAACAACGAATATACTACTCTGTGCGGTACGTTTTGTACGAAGATTTTCGAGTTCGTTCATTCGGATGATTGGCTTTAATTGCCGACTGTTCATGCATTTTCAACACCGGCCGTTCCAATCATTCTAGTAACAAACAATCCAACGTATCGATATTAATGCATCGCAATTAACGCAATTAACGCGCGTATTATATACTCTCAGTTTGACGATACACGCAGCGTCAACATGCGCGTTCACGGAAATACGTTTCGTCGCGCATTTGTTTTGCCACTCGAAATAATTATGACTTTCGATAGGCGTTGTGTTATCGCGGGTAAATTAATCATTTCACAGAGAGATAATAAATAATAAATTCGTGCTTAGGTACATTGTTAGTAAGACAATTCATTATTCTTCGTCATTGTCGCGCATTTGTTTTACCACCCGAAATAATTGATATAATATTCATGAGCTTTGGTGTTATCGCGGATAAATTAATCTTTTGACCGAGATATAATAAATTCTCGGATATATTATCAAATACGATAGAGTTATTATTCTTCCTCGGTATCTCATTATCACAAAAGATTTGCTTATTCACTTTACGTTTAAGTGTACTCTAAAACAGCCTCGAGTGATAAACTTGTCTCTAAACAATTGTATAAATTATGTATTACTGACAAGTGACTTTCTTAAGCCTGTGACAAATGATTTTTGGTGGCCCGGAGAGACCAATTATTTTCTATAATTGCTTGACTAAACAAATTTACTAATTTCAAAACTTTTAGAACTTTCCAAATTAAAAATAGTTTCGCCACCGTGAAGTTAGCACCTCGTTTTCAAAAATGCAAAGTTTGATCAACAGTTTCGCTCTCACCCGCAATAGTTCTATGGTTCCTGATCGGTTTTCGATATAGAATCTCCGTTGATTTGGAAAGAAAAAATGACATCAGTGACGATATTTTCGAACAGGATTGCCTGCATTATATTTACTGCCATGCCAATACCACGTCTGCGTTTATGTATAATATATTAATTGTTAAGACCTGTGTTACAATACGTCGTATGTCGCTGTCGGATGTCGGGACGTAGCCGACGGTCACATACGACGTATTGTATAACAGGCCTGAACCGCCGTTTTACAGACGGTCTCGTGCATATATGGAAATACGAAGGTCTGCGACAGTTATGGGCGGGAACTATACCGAGTCTTATGCTCGTGGCGAATCCGGCCATCCAATTTATGACGTACGAGAGCATTAAAAGAAGGGTCGTCGCATCCCTTGGCGGTGCTCAACCACCGGCGTGGGTTTTCTTCATCATAGGAGCGATAGCGAAAACGGTTGCCACGTCGATAACGTATCCGTTGCAGCTCGTGCAAACGAAGTTGAGGGTATCGAACGTTACTGACATTCTTAGCTCGTTTGAGAAAACTTGAGAGAAAATATCACGCCATTTTTTTAATTGCTAAACTATCTGTAATTTCAGCACGGGGACAAATGTTCTAATCTACCTCCAGACGCGGGCACGTTGCAAATTCTAGTTTACATTCTCAAGTAAGTACAAACGAGTGACCACAAGAATGTTTTGCCGTTGCAATTTATAAAAGTATGAGTACAGTTTGACGTTGAACGAGTTGCAATTTATAAGAGTAATTTTTGCACGCAGGAAACAAGGAATGAAAGGCTTGTACAAAGGGATGGAGGCCAAACTTTTACAGACCGTCCTCACGGCAGCTTTGATGTTCCTGGCTTACGAGAAAATCGCACGATTCGTTTTCCGAATACTTCTGCACAAACCGCATCTCAGATAACGATTCATTCCCAGTAACGATACTATTGCGAAACAAGCTTAAGTCTCGAAATTCTAAATCAAATTTTGTACATTCCCACGTATGTTATCTTCTTTGTATAATTTCACGGACAAATGTAATAAAGTGGTATTGAATTTACTGTGCGCAATATGGTAATCGGCTTGTGTTCAAAAGAACTTCATCTTTCTTTTTCAACGGACGTGTTTCATAATTTTACATTTCAATGGACACCTTTCATCTTCTCATTAAGCAATAATAATATATTATACAGCGTAGATAACGCAAGGTGTACAGGTTAATATTTGAAAAGGGCATTCAAGATCACCACTCGGAAATTAATTAAACAAAATACAGTCAAGATATCTCGATAGTCGAGCTGGCGTTGAAACGCGCGTAACTTTGTCGAACCCGACGGCAACGTGTCAAAAGGAAACGGTTAACCGGGCGACAGAGAACTTGCGGAAGTATCCGAGAAAGATGTGAGCGTACTCGCGCGAGAGATACTGGCGAGTTCACGAAAATCGCAGCACCGCTTTCGCCCGCAACTTCGGTACAAGTTGAATCACCTAGTGTCGCCGCTCTTGCAAACGCGTCGAGTAAACGCGGCACGGCAAGATGAAGAGGCGAAATATGTAAATGCCAGCGCGCGTCGCGAACACTCCCGCAAGATCGATCGCAGGCGATCCGAGGCGATATTGAAACTCTTGAGCAAACTCAAAATACGCAAGTCATCGAAGAGTCAGTCGCGGTTCAACGATTGCAAATCCGCGACCTCCAAGTAAGTAGTTGCACAGAAAAACAACGTATGCATTCTCATTATGGAAGATGGAAATGTAAGAATGCATTGAATTTCCTTATCTTTACGAGCGAGAGAGATATTCGTGTTAGTAATATTTTTCAAATACCAGTACATACATCCCTGTTGGTGAATTTAAATGGACGCTTCATGCATTTGTAATATTTTCAATATTACCGCTTCAATTTACAACTTGTTATAGCATTGCTGTTTCTTTCCACTTTTATTAAATTTATCAAAGAAGCATAGGGCAGTAAGTAAAAGGTGATTAGTGATAATAAAGTTTGATTTGAATTGCAGCATTAGTCATGCTGGAGACACGATGAGTCCACCGTCGCGTCGCGAAAATGCGGTCACTAAAGAACCGGTCAGTTCGACGGTCGTTGCGAAAAATAAACCGGAAGCAAAAGCCCCGGTCATATCCTACGATTACGAGGCAGCGATTAGCCAGCCCGACGTGCCCAAGGTGTACTCAAAAATCGACGATGACACGCAAAACGCGAGCTGGTCGGAGCCCAGCGACGAATCGTCGGCGCCGACCAAGAGGAGAGATCTTTACGTTTTCGGGAAAGCGAGTGTAACTACTAAGAAAAGAGGAATTGCTTTTAAATCGAAGATGCAAGCGAAAAAGGTTACGAAAACTCGTCCGTCGATCTGCAACGTCGCCGAGATTGAAAGCGAGTCGATACCTTCCTCGGAAATTATCCGAGACGTTGAAAATCACGGGCAGGAAATTAGCGACGACATTGTTACGAATCGCCAAACGCCGTCTAATTTTCACCAAGTTCGTTTTGGTAAAATATTTCTTTCTGTACTAATTTTGCAATTAATTCGTGTAATATTTAGAAAAAACAGGTGCATTCTCGAGACGCTCCAAAGACGGGAATCGCAAAAAAAGAGGAAAATCTTGCGAGCGAAGCTGCCGGCGTATTTCCAGGAAATTCTGATAAAACTGATAAAGCCAGGAGATCGCGTATCCCTCAAAATAGGATCAGCAAAATTCCGCGCGTGAAACTTCCGATAAAACCCAATTCCTTTCTATCTACGCATGGAGACTCGCGCATTTATCCGGTACAATTGCGTATTTGCATTTGTTGAAACGGAGTATTTAAATATGTTTCAGTACGTACGTTTTCAAATAATTTTAATTAGCAGAACGCAGAATTGTCAGTGAGGAATGAATTGAGATGCTCCACGGATATGAAATCCAAAGACAATAAAGAGGAAAAATTAATATTCGAGTACGTGAGTAAAATAAAAACTAATTAAACTTGTATAGACAAGATAATTGCGTCGGTAAATGATCTCTCAGAAAATCTATCGCCCATTTTTACATTTGTACGTAAGAAATATAATTTGATTTCTTTTAAATATAAGAATATTAAATGGTCACTAAACTCAGCTTTTAATTAACCTGCAGTAAGTATTAGTGGCTATTTCATCGAATGGTTATTTATTTTGGCATTTTTAGCCCACTGATATAATAAATAAATCTCGTTTATACAATAGAATTAAATAGTTTGAATGAAACACACGTAACTTTCTATAAAATTGAAAAACGGCTCAAGCAGGGGATCTTTGGACTGTGAAAAATTAAAAGCCACGATCATCTCACCGGCAGTCCGTGAAAACACGTAAGTCTTGAAAAAGTTGCGCGTTTCTTATCTCATTTGTTCACGTTAAAAGATATTGTCGGCCAAATTAAGCCAAGTACTGTCTGTTTAGGAGTCTCTGGTGTCCCGGAAAAAGCTCGGAGATGGATGCCGACGAAGAATTCGAGGGGGATCTGCCGACACCGAGGGCGGAATCGCCGATTGTCATCGGCGCTGGCGACGACCCGCGCTCCGTCACGTTGTTAAAGAGCCTGGCGTTGAAATGCGAATGTCGTGCGTGCAACGATCACAAATACGCGTCTACTGTTCGTCCTGATCAACGTACCGAGACCGAATCGTGGACTTCTCCCGAAATAGGAAGCGCGAGGAAATGGTAGAGAGATAGTATTTGTCTCGCGAGATGCGGAAGGCCCTTCATTTTCAAATCGCGCTCCAATTGTTACATTCACGCTGTGATTCATATGCAGGAGATCAACGAGGAATCGTAAATTTGTCCGCGTGAGTTCGGAGGATTTGGACTCGTCGGATTATAACGCCATTAATTACGGCAACGGCAAGGCGAACAGAAAGAATAGCGGATCGAGTCATGTAACGAGACCGAAAGCTTATCGGACGACCGGTTTATCTTTCTTCAATGTCTTCTTCGATATTGTTTTCTGGCCGTTCGTTTTTCTTCGCGCGAAACAATGATACGCGCTACAGTATTGTATTCTAAATCTACTGCTTATTATATTGTAATATTACATGACTTGTCGATACTTTGATTCGTCACAAATGGCACTCTTCTGTAATAATGAACAGAGAACGGAAATAACGAGAGCCTTTGAAAGAATTTATGGAAAAGCACATATACACAAACTTCCTTTCAACTTTTTATAAAATAACTCGGGTTTATGGAAGGTAATTTATTGTTATACGAGATTCCTTGTATCTTTGCACTTGATAAGATAAAAATCTTGAAAATGACGAAATGCGTATAAGTCGTACAAATCATATAATAATCCATTATTACAGAAAACAATTATTTCACTCACCAGTCGTAGTTGGAACGGAGACAGCTTCAAGTCCCGGTCTCTCCTGATCCTCGAAGATGACTCCAATATATCCCATTGTCCAGGCACAAAGCAAAATATCACTTCACTATCACTGTAATTATATACGAGATTCGATGCCTCTTTTATCAAGCGCGAAAGGCGTGCGTCTAGAGTTTGGTCTTGCGAATACTTCGTCTCGCGTGCTGGGGCATTAAAATGCTAAAAATCCGCCACTGATTGATTCCGTGTCTAATACAACGACTGCTAAACATTTTTCTCAACGCAATTGACATTGCGCACTTATCATCACGCTGTATTTGTTCCCCGATAACTTATGATTCGCGAATCATATTTAATTAAGTTCGTAACTTTTGTAACCGTAGCGACTATAGCATTAATTGCAAAACTTTCTCGCGTTCGTAATGTAGAAAATAATTATCCCTTATCGTGAATCCTAACAATCACTACCGAAATAAACATTATTGATCACTACACAAACATTACGTATTTGTTCGCGCGGATAAACGTCGATCACGGCATTAGCTAAAATAATTTTAATCCGCAAAGCAACTATTAGCAGCGAGCACGGCTAATGAAGAAAATTATTGCAATCCCTGCTAATTAAGCGAAAAAATACTATCCCTTCCTGCGTATATAAATATATGCTCCTTCATTCGTATAATTAGAATCTTATTTCATCTACTTTTATAAAAATCGTAATCTCATCGTGATAATTGAAATAATTTCACGCTTCCAAGCCACGAAACAACTGTCAGCAGTGATCACGGCTATAATAGAAATTATCACAATCACTGCCAATTGTTACAAACAGGAATACCGTTAATTACTGCAAATACTGGATACTAATCCCCGCGCGCACATAATCTTACGAAACTAACGATCTCGCGACGATAATTAAAATAATTTCACGTTTCCAATCCGCGAAGCAACTATCGGCAGTCGTCGGGGCTAATAGAAATTATCGCAATCACTGCTAATTACCACCAAGAGTGTTATCAGTGACTGTGTACATGGAAAATACCGCGTGCTAGGATTGCGATCTGAGAATATATGACCAGCGCGACATTACTGCGGCTCTCCCCGCATGTCTACTTTGTATAATACAATTATCAGTGGCAATCGTGCATAGACATAGTAAATATAGACTGTGAGCGTCCCATTGAATAAGCTGAAGCTTGCAGAGAGAGAGAGAGAAGATTTAAGAAGACTTGCTTTCTCTGTCTCACCATCGTGACAAAGGAGGCGCAGGCACGATTCTTTTCTTTTACGATGGTGTAAGACAGAGAAAGAAAGTCTTCTTAAATCTCTCTCTCTCTCTCTCTCTCTCTCTCTCTCTCTCTCTCTCTCTCTCTCTCTCACACACACACACTCTTTCTCTCTCTCTCTCTCTCTCTCTCTCTCTCTCTCTCTCTCTACTGTCTATGCAATCGTGGCTAATGTAAAAAAAAATCACGATCACTGCCAATTACCACACAAGTACGTAAAATCAGAACCTTCTCTTATCATATATAAAAACTGCTATCAATGTAAGCGCCGTACTTTGTAATTGTCAAGTATGATCGGCCTGCGAAGAAAATGTTACAATTAATGCTACAGTCGTACGGCGCAGCGTTGAATCGAATCTTCGATCAGCGGAGTCGTGCACTTTCGTCGTTATTGGCGCTCCGGGTACACGTACATCTTGACGCGAAACTTGCCCCAGTCGACTCGAGACCGTAACCTAAGTGCAATAATGCAAAGAACTGTTAACAAACATGGCGCTCGCTATCGATTATGTATCACCGATACGCAAGAGTCGCGAGTCTCTCGCGCACTCGCGTCGTCGACGGTATACCTAATTATGCTCGTCCCGTGGCGGATTTTTCACCAGACGCACGCCCAGGAACTCGACGTCGCGAACTTGGAGTCGGAGCCTCGGGACGCCGAAATACCTTGACTCGCCTGCTCGCCGGCACGCACGACGTTCGTTCGCGATGCCACGGCGTTCAGCGTGGACCAAGTGTGGTACGGCGCACTCCACGGGACGGTCGCGACTATCTGTCGCGCGCGAGACTCACCGTCGGCGCAAGAAAACCTCCGCTTCGTGTGCCGAAACCGCGAAAAAACGCGGGACGATCGCGGACGCGGCGCAACGGCACCGCGCGCGACGCGTACGTTGCTCGCCGCTTTCGAAGTTTCGAGAATCGCAATTTCGCCGGTCGATATATCTCGAGGCGGACAGCGAGCCAATCGCGTGGCGACGTCTCGAGCCGAGAATACATTCGCGGCACGAATAGTACGATTATCTTTTCTATGGCCGGGTATTCCTATACATATAGTCAGATCTTATATTCGAGACCGTCTTAAGATCGTCTTTAGATACTCCGTAGCCAATGGAATGTTCCACGCAGCGTCTACAGATAAATTCAAGACGGTCTTGAATACAAGATCCGACTATGAAGCCTCGTCTACATAGAAGTCGTAAAGTCGTAGTCGTAAGAATAGTCGACTACGATTGGTCAATTCTTACGTGTCTGACGAAATTGACCAATCGCAGTCGATTACTACGACTCTGCGACTCGCATTGTAGACCACGCATTACTCTTCTCGCGAAACTGTATCACTGTTCACTTGTCGTTTCCCGCGAGCGTTTCATTACGACGAGCGGCAGGAAGACACGCGAGAGACATCCGCCTCGCTCGACCGAACCGCGCGAACTGATAGACTGTTCTCGACCGAGGTGTTGACGGCGCGCTACGTCACATTTCGCGGAACCGGCGGCTCGGCTTTCGACCGAGTTGTTTACGTCGCTCGGTCTGTGGCGCTACGTAGTTTTTTCGAGACTCGGCAAAACAAGGTCAGGCCGTACGCAGGATCATTCACGCGGCGACAATTGAACGAGTCCGTTGTGCCCCTCGCCGTTCCGCATGTCGTATTATTATTCTTTCTTGATATGCGCCCGCGACAAGTGCGGGAAGAAATCGCGATCGCTCTCCGCGAATAATTGGCGGTCGATATCATCGCGCGATCGCTCAATTCAACATCAATTAATCTTATCCGTGCTTAATTATATATTGTGATATTTACTCATCGGTAGTTTAAATTGATACAGCGGCCATTTCCGTTGGTTAAAGTTCGTACCATCGAATCAATTTACAAGGAATTCCCGAGTGCAAATAGTAACTTCGTGCAATCGTGTATCTTTCGCGTTTTCTTTCCTGCCGCGTGTGATTAATACTGAGGTGTTGTACAAAGTGCCACGAAGTCTCGATCATCCCACGAAACGTAAGTACACATTTCATATAAGATTGATTACGAGAAATTAAATATGATTGATTCTTTTCTACATTTGGTAGCAAATTCGGTAATACCGAAGGAGATTGTTATACATTTCTGGCCGTGGGATGTTGAATCTCTATTTTTCGTACATGTAAAAAATTTATTTCATGGCCGCAACTTTTCATGGTATCTGTCTTGCAATATCGGAGTTTATTGTATACGGCAAGGTTTCTTATCACCCTAAGTGACGTGAAAGCATTTCCTGTATACATGACTGATATTTTCTTCGCCATTTTGGCGGTTAAACCAATCAAAAGGCGACCCATTTTGCATCAAACGCACTGATGGAAGCAGCCTTATTACTTTCCTTGCAAAACGGGTCGCGGGATGATTGGCTCTTAAATATTGAACGAGTTCGCAGCGTCGGGAATGCTTCACCTTGCTTTTCTCACCGTGAGTTCAACCCTCGAGAGAATTCACTAAAGATATTTACGAGTTAATTGAATGAAATTTCTATCTTGCATGATATGTGAACTACATATGCAAACGAGTTGTGACGATTACAATAATCAATATCAACTGTACATTAATTACAATTACACGAATTGCTCACGCCCTTGCGTCTACAGTGCAATATATTTTGCAATGTAAGAAATTTTTTACACACAAACGCTATTGCAGTAAAGATTTGTATTTTGTGCCATATAAATAATGATCGCCAGAAACAATGGCCGCGTTCAGCAGAAAAAGGCTGCTTTGCAACTGTTGTAAAATTCGTGGTTCTGATTGGCGTATTCTCTTAAGCCCGTATCAGACTACGGATTGAGATTGGGATTAGATTGAAATTTGACCAATCAGAGTAAAGCCCGTATCAGACTACGGATTGGGATTGGGATTAGATTGAAATTTAACCAATCACAGTAAAGTTTACTAATCTCAAGTTCAGTAACTTTTACTCTGATTGGTCAAATTTCAATCTAATCCCAATCCCAATCCGTAGTCTGATACGGGCTTAAGGCTTACTACACCTATTGTAGATCCGGTCTTAATCTTGAGTGAATTTAAGAGCATACGCCAATCAGTTTGATGAATTTTACGACAGTTGCAAAGCAGTGCGCGAAAATCATAATTTCGTACGTCGATATATCTCGAAGCTGGGGGGAGCCAATCGCTTGGCGACGCGGTCGATCGGAATCATGGGGTCTGTTTTTTATTGCTGCACTCCTGAACTAGTGCACACTGGTGCAATGAGTTGGAATGAGAGGTAATCTATTTGTTTCATTTTAACTTACTGCACTAGTTCAGTAGTGCAGTAATAAAGAACAGGCCTATGGGCGCGTCTCCTGCTCTCCTCTACCTAACCTCACTCCGTACCGCGACAACATGGATGTCGACACGGCGAGTGACAATACGTCCATCGACGACAAGATAGACGACTTTTGCGAAAATCCCACGCGAGATGCGTTAACGGAGGGTCTCATGAGCCTTCTGAAACCCACGGTGGACCAACTGGATGACCGAATTCGTGCTACGAGGTAACCGCAATCTTCGCTGTACGCACGAACGAATGAGTTTTCCGTCGATTTCACTGTTGCGAGGCTTCGTGCGCTTATCGCGTCTGCGATTCCTTCGCGGAACGTGATATCGCGCAGACATTTAACGTTTATATTTACTCGTCCGTCCACACGTTGTTCCTTTGATTACGTTGCGTGCAAGTACCAGGAAGAGCTCGTTGGACCCATATACTTTTCTGCGTAGGATATGCCAAATTGAGCTGAAACAACGGATTGAGTCGTTAACGGAGGAGCTTCAGAGGATCAACGAGGCGTTGCAGTATCCGATGGACACAGACTCCTATGTGAAAAAACTTGTTAACGCTAAGCACAAGATCACCATTGTTAGCAACATTTTGCAAACCACGCAGGAGCGCTTAAACAAGGTGCATCAGGCTGTCGAGAAGAGCACTGCCAAGCGAAAGACGCTCTTAGATAATAGTTGCGCGTACAGCGGCGCGTCTGTCGAAGCGGACAAAGAAGAGTCGTCTAAAGCGGAGACTGATAAGCAGCAATAATTTCCAATATTTATTATTAATCGTATGATTGATAGGATATTATGACCAAGTCGTTACTAAACACTTATCACTTTATATAAGTTTTATATAAGAACTTATTACATCCTTTCTTACAAGTCATGGAGACCCCGGTAGTTAAAATGTCCGACGAGGAGCTCAAAACGGTTTACGAGCCTTCTGAAGATTCGTATCTTTTAATAGATGCCCTGGAAGCAGATTTGAAGACTCTGCATGCGACAAAGCCAGGGATTTGTTTAGAGATAGGTAGTGGATCTGGTGTAGTTATCACCGCTCTGGCACTGGCACTAAAGAGACACCATAACGTCCACTTTATTGCGATTGATATAAATCCTGACGCATGTAGGGTCACGAAAAGAACTAGTCTGATTAATTCGGTCGACGTAGATGTTCTCCAGATGAATTTGTTAGATTGCGTACGAGCTCGGCATAAGTTCGACGTTATTTTATTCAATCCCCCGTACGTAGTTACAGAACACGAGGAAGTATTAGACGATAGACTTGTATTTAGGACTTGGGCAGGTGGCAAAAATGGTAGGCAAGTTATGGAACGGGTGTTCGCTACTATCCCCGAAATCTTGTCGGACACAGGATTGTTTTATTTAGTTGTTGTCAGAGAAAATGATCCTGAGTACATCTTGAGTGCTTTTCAAGAATTGAATATGTTGGGCGAAACTGTTCACGAACGAAAAGTGAGAGGAGAGCACTTGTACGTTTTACGTTTTCGTAAAATGAAGGAAATGAGAAGTTAACAATCATGTCAAGGCTGTCACGGATGTCAGCATCCACATAGAACATTGTAAAAGTTCTTAATTCCGTGAGAAGAAGAAGAAGGCATTATTTCATTGATCGTATACTAGGTCTAAATAATACTTATGGTGATTAATTGCAGAGGACTACGTTTATTTAAATCATATTAGCTTGCACTGTGTAGATAGCTGTAATATCATTTATGTTACTTGTAAACTATTGTTATGTAATATATATATATATATATAATTGTCATCAATACAGGTACAACAGTATATCACAACTGAAACAACACTAATGTTCCTTGTCCACGTACTTTTATTATATCTCTCACGATTCTTTTCAGGAATTGTTCGTTCGAGGAAGGTGATAGCGAGGGCCGTGTCTTCTGTTGTTTTTTTTTACAAATATCATAATTTATTTTCGAATACTTAAAATTTACATTATGCTGATATTGAAATATCGCAATAAATACCATATCGCATCGGTATTGAAGCATTACGCGAAATGAGCACTCTCGTCGTCCGAGGACTGCACGAGTAGTTTGTTAGATATTTATAAATTGATATGTAAAATATGGCTACTTCCCTGTTCTGCTATCGTGCAGAATAAAATTTCTATGGTTGGGTAAGAGTAACATTTTGTGAGAATTTATTGATAAATATTTAGAAGCAACAAGCTGAATAAAATTTCTGTCGTTTGTCAACTGCTATTTCTTTCGATGTTCAGCAATTTCTTCACGATTGAGCGATTGCGAAGCGCTAAAATAATAGTCTCTTACTGTTTAAGTTGTTATTTGATTACTGGCACGCGCTCGTTTTCTACTTTCCTGGTATTATTACGATAAAATACCATCTTACGAATCCACGAATTTCGGTCTGCGAATTCGTTGTAATTTAACATACAGCACAGCCGCACTTATAGTCGCGATGAAGAGTGTGCTCAACATGAGAATGAAGGTCGTGTAAAATCCACTGGTGCTCATGCAGACCTCTTTCGCTTTTACCATCGCCTCGACAGCCGTTTCCTCCATACTATCCAGGACCTGGCTGGACGCCGCGCTCAAGTCGTCCAACATGATTACTTTGAAACGCCGTCCGACACGAACCGGATCCGATAACAGAATTGAATTGGTCGAGTTGCTCGAAGATGGTGCATACGTTATCGATCGACGACGTCTTCCTGGCTCGATTTGCTGTAACAAAGTTTTTTTTTTTCAATATGTAAACCTATATAGGAAAATATGTAACGTTTTTAGTATTGGGTATTTATCTCGTTGAATTGATATTTGGGATGTTGCTTACTTGATTTGCTTCCGGACAAGGTTCGCAATTAGTTTTACATAGCTCGACGTTGCATTCGATGAACAAATCCATGACATCGGGGAATTTGAAGGCTTGGAAGAACGCGTAAGCGATGATAGAAGCGCCTGTATTGCCGGTATCGTTTGTCTTCTGGAAAGCGCCGAACAACTTCGGTTTCAAAATGCAGCCTCTTTCGTCAGTGAGCTGCAGCATGTTGGTCGAAGCTTCGTCTCGCGCCAGACAGTCGCGCACCTTGAAAATAGTTGAAAATTGAAATCCTAATTCTTATTTACACTCAAGTCCAGACGATCTTGAAAATGAAGGCGTCGAGGAATTATTAGCTTGCGATTATTCCTTGTGAATTCTCGAATTACAATTATATCTATTTTTTCACTACATGTCGGAACATGTAATTTGACTGCATAAATTTTCATTACACCATTACAATTATGGTTTTCAATGCGCACCTGAAGATCGAAACCAGGATCGCCCTCCACGGAGACTACTAACGTCATTGTTTCTCCGATCTTTACGAGTCCATCGGCTGCGGCTGCGAAAGGTCCTTTGCCGATTTGAATATCCAGTTTGGCCGTCGCGGTATCGCCACTAAAGGTAACGATCTCTTGGTTTAACATATCTACCGAGAGATTCACCGTTAAAGCCTTATTGATGTTTCCTTCCCATAGGCATCGTACTCGTCGAACTGTGTCCCAGACTTCTTGTATGCCGACTTCATTCTTTAGCAATAAAAATGTTTTATTTCAAGATTGATAATCATGTAATTGTTTGCGAGCTAAATGTAATAAATTCGAGAAGGCAGAAAACTGAAACTAATAAAATTAGTTTGTTTAACACCGACTTGTAGTACGAGGACGTTTTCCAAATAAGCCTGACCAGCTTCACCCTCGAAATCGTTGATGAATTGAGTCCCGCAGGAGTCTAGATTCACAGTAAAAGAATACTGCGTTAATCCAGAATTCTGCCTTACGTAGGTACATTCTGGATTCATAAAGTATCCCTGAAATTGAATATAATTGATAAACATTATTGTCGGTCATTACTTTAAATTGTTTTGTTTCGCGCTCACCTTGGAATAAATAATACCGTCGTAAGCGCGATTGAATTCGATATTAATTGTCATCATGGTCTTGCTGCATTGGACATCAAGGCTGTGGATATGCGGGGGATGATTGAGGTCGTCGTCAGTTCGAGTGGTCTCTGGAAGATACAATCGCAAATTATTTTCTCATGCATTTTGCGTTTATATTACACTGTAGTAAAAAAAAAATACATACCTGCAGTACCAGTACTTGTAACACCAGTTTCAGTTTCAGTGGTTCGAGGACCTTCTCCTGTGACACCAACACTAGAACCCGCATCTACGCCAATTTCACCTGGTGTAGTGAAGGGAGGGGACGGTCTTCCGGGAGTCGAGTATCCAGGCATCGAAGTGAACCCGTTTGAACTGGGATAACCTGGACTAGGATAGCCTCTTGTCGGGGGTGGTCCTGGGGGTCCTGAAGGTCTTGAAGGTCCCGTGGGTCCCGAAGGTCCTAAAGAATAGCCAGATGCCATAATGTTAGTAATCTCCGGTTGACTCGACGATGAAGTTTATTTGATACTACATTACTATATTGGTGGTTATTTTTTTCAGAGTACTCTTGGAAACATGACTGTACCTGATCCGATACCTCCACCTAAAGAGAGAGGCTTACCAGTGGGTTCGGAAGGAAGCGGTCTTGGACTGGTCGATGGAAAAGACGGCGGCTGCGGCGGAAGGTAAGTGGACGACGATTCCGGGGAATTCAGTGGCGGAAAGGCCGACGAGCCCGCATTAGAGTACGAGGGCTGGCTCGGTCGTGGATTGTAGGACGTGGAGCCTCTGAAGCCTTGCGGCACGTACGTTGAAGAAGGTTGTTGGCTCGGTCTCGGTGTAGAAAATGGCGTGGAGGGCTGCCCAGATGCCGGGTAACCGATATTCGGCGGGGTGTAAAGCGACGACGGCCGCTGAGCCGTGTAACCCGTTACTTCGTTCTGTTGAGAGCTTGTGGCCGCCTGGAAGGGTCGCGGTTTTTCGGGCGGTCGTTGGGTACTGTAGGGCGGCAAGTACGCATTTGATTCTGATTGCTGGCGAACTGTAAAAATACGTGGGCTCGTCAAGATTGAGAATCCGCTGTGATTGTTTCCGCGAACATAACAATAGCATCGATGAAAAGTATTCTAAAGAACGGCGAAATTATTTCTTAAAACGATACTAACGTGATAGAACTTACATATTTTTGTATTTGCCATTTACAATACCTAAATTTATTATAAATTAAGAGAACTCTACGCGAATTGAAGTTATCATACTTTTTTGAAGCTTGCAAGTGACAAAATGGGATTGGAAAGTTATTGTCGTAAAAGATTTTCGAAAACGTATTTGCGGTACTTTTCATTGAAGCTATCGATACTCGAAGTCCATGAACATCTCTCAGTTTTATATGCATTCGCGTTAGCCTCTTTGAATATTAATAAAAAAAGGAAACAAAGAGATGAAGAAAAGCGTATGTTCTAAAGAGCTAATTAAGAGTACATTGATTTAATAGTGCATCATAAGAGAAATCGATTTGTGTCGGAACAAGCGTGCATCAAAGCCAATCCCAGCGTCGAACATTACTTCCGTGATGCTTAGGTGTCACGTTAAAATGATTGATTAGTAGCGCGGCAAGTTATGAATTAATAATTTCGTGCGTCTGATTCGGTGCGGCGGTATCGGCTGCGCATAGTCGCAGCTTTCTTTTGCGCAATATACGTCCGTGGTACTAGCGTCCATCTCTGAGCATCAGCGGCACTGAACTGTCTATAAATCAGCGCGCCACGTCAGACAGCTAAATTCGATCGGCGAGAAAAAAGAATGCTCGTTAATTTGCGACGGGACGGCTTCGCATCGCGCCGTTTCCTGTCGACGACGACGAAACTCGGAAACCTACTTTTACGTGTGCCCTGCTGGTAGATGCCTTGAATCCACTCTAGGATATTTTGTGCCATCACATCTGCCGGCGATACCGAGGCAGCAGCCCGTTGGACTCTCGAGCGTGCTAATGAATGTTAAACCATTCGTTTGTGATCAGATTCATATTTGTCACCAACATGAGCTACAGCGCCTCTCCCTTCTCTGACGATCGCGCTTAAGGAGGACTCGTGGAGTCCTCTCGCATTTTTTCTTACCGGGATCCGCGTCCGCGGTTCTCACGAACAGCGCGTGACCCCCGAAGTCTTGGCCGCACACCGCTGCATCCGAGAGAGCGACGACGAGAATCGCCGCGACGAGCCTCATCCTTGGGCCTGTAAATTTTATTTCAGTTAATGACAGCGCTCCTCTCTACACGTCACGCTGTGTCAATACTCTCGATTTCGGGCGGAATCTCCTTCAATAAGATATAATCGTTCCGCGCGAAATCGCTTTCGTTGCTCTGAGGGTCAAGTGTCATTGACTCGCGGTTGAGAATACGAAGGTATACCCAAGGATGATGAGTCGCGGATGCGGTAGGCCGGTCTCCCCGTCGAAAGTAGAAAGTGATCATTATGAAATCTATGACCATGATCGCAGCTTTTGACAGTTGACGTCACCGTGCAAGCGAGATAACTTATTGCGAGAAGAGGAGCGGGAGTGCGCGTGATTTCTCCCCAAGGTCTGGATTTCCGTGTTCTGAGACGGCGTACGCGAAAAACTACGTCGTCGGTTATGAAAATCGCTGTTTGCACGCCACGTGTATCTTGTACATTAGGTGCGCATCAGGCGCTTCCTCAAGGTCTCCACGTGCGCGCTGGGAACACGCGAGCTGCACAAAGACCGACTACCTTAGCCCGACCGTATCCATCGCGTCGAATTTCGAAAGTAGCATCGCCGAAGGATATCACGGCGGTTTTCTAATTGGACCGTAATTGCCGGTGGAATACTCAAGGTTCCGAATCGCGGACGCGAATGAAATTTATCCTTGCCGCGAGGATTAGCGGCAAGGGATTATTTCGGCAACGCGATGACTGTACAGATAATTGTCCTGCCGCCAAGTTGCAGTCGGCTGGTCGGGTGATCTCCAAGGTCCCAGAACATGGCGAAATTAATCGCGCCGTAGAGAGGAACAAAAAAAGGAAAGAAACCGCAATTGTTTCGACAGAGCTTGAGCGGAAAATTTAGCGTGCGAGTAATGGCGCTCGTTCCTTAATCTCGGATCGCGATCGCTAAACATCTTTTAATTTGGAGCCGGCGTCGTTTCCATTATTGTTCGCGTCTTCTCACGTGCTGCGGCGTGCGTTGGCGGTGTGTTTCGTCAGGACGGATTACGCGCGGTATAATCGCGCCGTCTTGTCTCACATGTCTCATAATTTCAGACTACCTAGTTGGGATAATTTATGAACATGTTCACAAGCGCTTAATCTTGTAGTTTTGGTCATTCGGACGTAACTTTCTTTCGTGCGGATAAGATGACGTTCTTCGTGGTGATCTTCATTAATATTACAGCATCCGGGATCATCGTAAATTTAATTTTAAACATGTACTTTGTTCGCATGCTTTGCCGCATTTCTCACATACACTCTCGTATGAAACATAAATAAATTAATTCTCTATAATAAATAAAATATATTTATTATAGATGAAAATTTGTGAGCAGAGAGCCTCTCTCTCTCTCTCTCCCTCTCTCTCGATGCATGAATAAAATTCGCAATTTGATGTATGAATAAAATAGACAGTATTATCGATTATGATGTGATTAAAATTTTAATTCCGTCAAATTCGTGAATAATAAAATAATATGATAAAAACATTAAATAAATAACCATTCCGACTCATGCAGTAATGATCATTGCGTTAAAATAATTACGGAAATGCGATAATTGCGAGAGTGATGTTGCGCACATATTGCGATATTCAATCATCCGCACGATTTGACGGATAATTATCGCTCGTTCGCGTTACGAAATGTAGATTCCGCACGACTTCTCCTTCATTTAACGAACTTTTCCTTCCTGCGCCTAAACGAGCGTCATTATCTCGTTACACGAACTTGAAATCCAGCGGTCATTCCCGGTTAATCCGATGCCGGTACCTACGGCAAGCACGGGAAAGCCATCGTCTATCCTCGCGCGGATGCTTTCCATCGCCTTAGTTTTATGCCATGAATCCGCCAGTGAAACCGAATCGTGACGCGGCCGCCTTTGGTTGCTACCCGCGCTCTCGTACGATCTGATGCATCCGAGCGCCGACGCTGAGGATCGGCGAGGTAAAAGATCGAGAAGTCAACAGTGGAATCGTGCTCGAGCAAGGTGAAAGGTGAAAGTCGCAACGCGCCGGCTAGAGGACCGTACAGATACCGGCGGGCATGCGCTCGCTTTTACACGTGTTGAAACGTACACGTACGCATTGCGAGATCTATCGCCGAGTCTTTCTATCGCTCGATAAATCAGATGAATCGGTGCGATTTTCTCCTTATATGTTTATTCGATAAGTTGATCGATAACGCTGTAGATCTTCACTTTTCTAGGACTCCAGGTTTACGTTCGATTGGATAGGAATATTTATCTCCGCGAAATTCTGTAAAGTTCCACTTTATTGAATTCTTCGATCAAGTAATCTTTTATTTTATTTCATTCCGCAAACTTTTGAGCTCATTGTAGCAACCGATGCGTGTATGCCAAGATTCTCGCAAGTCTCACGATTGATACATTACGAAAATAGGTATGGGAAAGAAATTCCCGTTGTAATAATAGCAGAGGACTGGGTTCGATTGCACAAATCAGAGATTCCAATTAAGTTGAATCAAATAAAAATTACGAATACACGACTGCGATGGCAAGATAAACCCATTAAAGTAAAATAATATAAAAATTTGACTCAGGTGAGAGGAAATTATTTCGCGAGAGTTTGATATTCCCTCGAGTATAAAAAAAAGACCAACGAAGAATACATATTTACTCCGTTAACTCTTAACTCCGTGTATTACATTACATAGATAGAATCTTGAGAGAAATTCTACTTTTAATATTTCTATGCATTAAAAAAAAGGAGAAATTGAAATATTTAAATCACTCTCTTTTGTCCTTCCGTTCTTGTGTCTCTTACAATTAAATGAGTGGAAATCAAATGTAATTTCTAGAAAAAGGATAGTAAAATAAACGGCAAGTGTGTCCCAGAGACTCCACACTTGTTATCTGAGAAAATCACGTTTGTTAATCGTGTCTATTCAACGTAATCGCTACACGCGCAACATGTGATTGATACTCGTACCGATATCATTAAACTGCCGAGCGGCGGACGGTTGATTGTCGCGGTTTCGTGACGCGTGCGAGTCGCGGAGGGTTTACGCGCGCGTATCTGACTTTTTTCTTTCCAATCGTTTCTGTAATTTGGCAAACGCAATATCGCGCTGCGGCGTACGATATTCTCGATCTAGTTGGGGTCCCCGTCACGTCGCAAATCAAATTAACGCGCCGGTACTAATTACGCGTTAATTAACACCCCGCCCTACCTCGCGCTCTCTCGCCGGCGGCCGCGTGGGGAAGGCGCGCTCTTTCGAAATTCCCGCCGACATCGTCGACGCATTAGGATATCATAATTTGCGCCTCAAAGAAACACGCCGCCTTAGCGTCTGCGTCTCCGCATCGTGCAATTGTCGTGCGAAATTCGTGTAGCTTTGCGCAGCCGGTCCGGCCGTAACGTTGCTGTTTGCGGTCGCGCGATTAGGCAAGTGTAGCACGCACTTGAGATGCTGCGGTTTTCTTCTCGCCGCACCGCCGGCCGCTTCGTTGTCGATGTCGGCATTTTAATAACGAGGTGGGCCAGTACTCGTTCATTATGGAGATTTCGTAACGAGCGGGACCTCTCGCCGTGGAACCGAGCTACTCGAAGTTATTACGATTTTTAATCTAGTATGCCTGGCCATCGACCGGGAATCGTAACCGGACCCATGAAAAAATATACATGTAAAAATGTATGTAATATATTACATATATTTTAAAATATGTGTTATATAAATTGCATATATACACACTTGTATATATAGAAAATATTTGTATATATATTCTTGAGTTACAGTAAAAATATACCTTAAAAATTATTTAATTTCATATATGCAGGCATATATTATTTTCTTATATTTCTTCTATATCATAGGCGGCAAAAAATTATTTAATTAGTTATATGCATTCTTATATTTTATATATACATTAATAAATATATATATATATATAAACGTATAAGTATTGATATATTATATAATATATTTTGAGGTATATACTTTTTCATGGGGGGGGGGGGGAGATCGAATACTGCGCAAAATTAATGCAAAAATATCTTTAATCCTAGATAGCATGCTGAAATTTTGTTTCCAACTTGCTTGGAAATTATTAATGTTGCATTATTCGCGGTAATTCACACTGCGTGGTTCACAAAACGCAGGCTTAAATTTATGGTACGATATGAAGCGAAATTTTCTTTATATTAAAGCTCGAATGTATTAGTAGCAGATATTTCTATGATGTTTCCAAAAGACTATTATTTTAAATTGTTCCTCGTGGCGGTTTAATTTAAATACTCGCTGTTAAAAAATTACATCTGATTTTTCACCGCACATTCTTCATATTACGTGCGTACGTGCGCGATGTAATGAGGTCGAAACTATGCAACGGTACTGTATAAACGGCAGGTGGTGGATGAAGTTACGGCGATGCATCTTTCCGAGAAACGCGGCGATATTTCAGCGGCGGCCGGCGCGAAATTATCCGCGGTATGTTTAAATTAATTTCGATATCAAGCCGGGCACCGTTGACGAAGCTAGACGCTAATGGCGCGAACGATGCTAATGACGAAACGATTTAAGTGTACAGGCCAGCGGTTTGCGGCCGCGGACTCGGATCGCGCGCAGTGAAAACTGTTACGTCCAATAGGTCTGGGTTACGGGGACATCGATTTCCTTATACATCGGCGTACGTACGCGAGTGCCGCTGAAATCGGCCGTGTCGACGTGAAAAATCGCCGATCGTCCGCGCGCCTGATTTCTACCGTACAATGTCAGCATTTCCAAATACGTAACTCCGTATAATGCGCGACAGTCGGGGAAAATCGGTTTTCGTTCGCGCACCGCCGCGTTCGGTGGCGGCAAAAGGTATCGGGTCGAGTGTGGGGATCCTTGGCCGTGTTAACCTCGGCGAATCTTACATCTTCGCCGGTTTTCCGCGCCGTTTCTCGCATTCTCTTTCGCCGAACGGTTTACGCACTATCAGTCCCTCTCGCGCCTCGAAAAGAAATGGCCGTCACGTTGGAGGGGGAAAAAAAAAATTACGGTCGTCCGTCAGATTCGGCTGCGGAATCTGCGCGCGCCGGGGGATAACTTGTCTTACGGCGCTCGCGAATTTTTAAGTGACCGCAAAAACGTGCCCCCCGGGTACGCTCCGCTGGGAAAGCGTGAACTTTACTGTTAAATTCCTCGGATGAGGCATGCGCGTTTTTCAAGCCCGTTCATTGACATTTAATATATTCTTTGCGCACATACGAGCACGGTCGATCCCCTCTTCTCTCTCTCTCTATCTCCATCTCCCAGCGCACGATCCTCTACTTTTCTCTTTTTTTTTTCGTCAAGCTCTTCACGCACGTGTCTCCACTGTTATGTAGTGCTGTAGAAAACGCAGTTTTAAGTACCGTGACTAGCGAAAGGATGTCAATACCGTAAGGATGTCAATACAAAATTGCGATGATACGAACATTGCGAGGTGATTTCGACGATTCGCTGTAGAGAACATTTTCCAAATTTCTTGCTTCGAAAAGATCTTGAAGCGTTTACGCCAGAAAAATTACATTCGCATC